CGGATGTCATCCTGGAAATAAAATTGCTACAAACCTTGGGGGACACCAAGATCAATTGGGGGGACCTCACGAAGGAGCTGATGATAGATGGAAGGAAGGTGATGATCAAGGGAGAAGCAGAGTTGTCCAAATCTAGGGTGTCTCTCAGAACCATGGTGAGGAATATCAAAGTAGGGGGAGGATATTTGTGGAGCTACACAAGTTGGAGGGAGTTAGGTTTGAGGAGGGAGGAGAGATACCCCTCTTCATATAGCCGCTGATAAAGCAATTCCAAGAGGTGTTTTAGCCACCTTAGGGATTTCCACCACCAACGGAGCATAAGCACGCTATTACTCTGAAAGAGGGGGTGCCACCCATCAGCTTCAAGCCCTACCGATATTATCAATTTCAAAAAGATGAAATTGATAAGCTAATTAAAGAGATGCTGGAGGCAGGTATTATTAGACCCAGTATCAATCCTTTTTACAGTCATGTGTTATTAGTTAAGAAAAAAAGATGGTAGCTAGAGGTTCCGTGTGGATTACAGGGCAATCAACAAGAAACAGTGCCAGACAAATTTTCGATACTAGTGATTAATGAACTGTTGGATGAATTGAGTGGAACAGTAATATTCACCAAGATAGATGTGAAATTAGGATATCATCAAATCAGAATGAAAAAGTAAGATGAGCCAAAAATTGCTTTCAGAACTCACGAGGGGCATTATGAGTTCCTTGTGATGCGGTCTCACTAAAGCTCCAACCACATTCCAGTCACTTATGAATAAAGTCTTCAAACCTTATCTTCAGCGGTTTGTTTTGGTATTTTTTGATGATATCTTAGTTTATAGCCGGACAGAGGAGGAGCACTGGGAGCATTTGAGGAAGGTGTTAGAGCTCTTACAGGAGCATCAGCTAAGGGCCGACCTGAAGAAGTGCTGCTTTGCCCAGATGAGGGTGGAGTACTTGGGTCATATTATTTCTAAAGAAGGGGTGGCAGCCGATCAGTCAAAGATTGAGGCCATGTTGAGGTGGCCCGTACTTAAGAATCTGAAGGAATTGAGAGGATTCTTAAGACTGACAGGATACAATAGAATGTTTGTAAAATGATAAAGCACTATAGCATAGCCACTGACAAAGCAGTTGAAGAATGATGGGTTCTTATGGGGAGAGGCGGCCACAGCAACATTTGAGAGACTGAAGAAATCAATGACTATTGTGCCAGTATTAGCTCTACCAAACTTCACTCAGGCCTTCATAGTGGAGACAAATGCATCAAGTGTTCTAGGGATAATAGTCAAAAGATAATACCACAATTTGAAATATATAAAGAAAAAAATATCAAATGCATCAAGTGTTCTACCATCATATGGAAACAAAATGATGAGGTCATCGATCAACGGTTCAGACACGTATATCGCCGGAAGCATCGCCGATCGATGGCCACGATTCAGAGCTTATATTTTTAGTTATTCATGCATTTTCAGTTTTCAGTATTCCTGTTTTACCCTTGTGTGTGAGTGAGTCATGTTGGGGCCCCGAGGGCGATTTAGTCATTATTTATGCTTTTATTTTTTTTTATATCTCATGACCTATATATAGGGGTCATGTATCATTGTATGGGGTTAATGAATATTTGAATGAAATTTTATGTTATCTTCTTCTTCTTGCATGAGGGCTAGAGAAGGGTGATTGAGCTCAAGGTGAGCGTTTGCAATACCCACCAGTCGTTGGAAGCGTCCTCGACTCGTGGTTCGTGTTATCTTATTGTTTTCTTTTCTAAATTTTGGTTCTCCTTTTCTCCACGACAATCTTCACCCGAGATCCATTCCTCCAACACTTCATCCAATCGTTTCCACCACTAGAATTCCAAGCTCCGCCAAAAGAACCCCACCCAACCCGTCGGCCACCCCACCCCTCCTCCTACATTAGCCGCCGGCCATCCCATGCTCCACCCTTGGTGACGACATCCATCATCCTAGTGGCTCCTTGATTGTCGCATAGCAATGAATGAGGAAGTTACTACATTTTGAATTTCAAATTTTGAAATTCAAAACTTTTAGTAAATCTCTCCCCTCCCTCACCCATGCCGCCGGCCACCCAAGGAGGAATCCCATTAATGCAATGTTAATGCATTCACTACACCTATTTCAAAATTCAAATTCCAATTAATCTCCCTCCAAATTTAATTAAATCTGAAATTAAATTCAGATTTTGATTAAAACTGAAATTTATTTCAGAATTATTGAGGAATTAACTGGGATTGAATTTCTCAAACCTTACTCCTCCCCTCTTGGAACCCGCCGCCCCACTTCAGTGATCTCCCGCCGGCTCTCCCACCTCTCGCCTCCCTTCTTCCCACCAAAGCAAGGAGTCTCTACTACCATCCTCTAGTTCTCCTCCACTTGAAGAATCCCCTAACCCAAGCATGAATGGCGGATCCGGAGTTTGAATGGGGATTGGTCTTCAACGCCGACGGAAGCATCAACGTCCTACGCTCACCGTGCTTCGACGTAGGATTTGAAGACGAGACCACCGTAGAAGAGTACTTGGAAAGAGTCGTACCAATCCTTGCGAGCATCTACGACCGGAAATTTGCAAAGCACACTTGGAGTCTCGAAAGTCAAGCATTCACGCCCGCCGCGTCATCGTCGACCTCTCCGTGGCTCAAGACCCTTGGCATCGCAACCTTCCTCGTGGCATCGTTTGGTGTGCTGAAATTCTTCTCCCGCAAAGCCTAGTCTAGTTGAGAGAGTATTTCCCCAAGGTGAACTTCTCGTTATTAAATGACGGATTGTTGTAATAGCTTTTAGTGTTGCTACTATTTTTGGTTGTCTGAAGATTTTGGCTAATCTACATACTTCTTCACCTAAGCTAGTTGATAACTACGAAATTTTGAATGATTTTCTTGCTATCTCAATAAGATATTAATTGAAATTACGTTGTCATTCACTGTTAATTCTCTTAAGAAGCTCCTTCGCATGTTCGTTCTACATCACAAAAACATCATTTTCTTTCTATGATAGTTCAAGATAACTTGCAAAAAGAATGTTCTAATGGTAGCTTAAACTAATGCCACACTGCAGAAATGATAAACCATATGTAGCTGTTCATATGTTCTAGCGCATCATATAAATGGTTTCAAAACCTATTAATGCAAAGAGAAACTGCTCAATATTTTCACTATAATATGGGTGGCAAATTAAAGGGATAAAATAAAGAGGAGATAATGAAGGGGACATCATTAATTAAGAGGATATATTACAAACTGTAGATAGTAAATGAAATAGTAAATAACTTCCAATCTAGCAAAATCCTGCAATAACAAAAACCATGATCTAGGGATATAGATCATAAAATAAATAGGAAATCACAAGCTCAAAAATCTATGGAACTGTTTGAAAGCTTGTGGAAGAGCAACTCAATATTCTTCATATATGATTCCTTACCCACCAAATTTTCTTTAAAATAGTTGCAGTTTTGTGGAGAATCAGTTACCAGAGAACTGCGGGAGAATTTGAATGTGAGAGAGTTACTAGAGGCTCAACAGAAGTAGAGGCTATCAAGTATAACTCAACTATGGAATAGATAGTTGAGAAGAAGAGCGTGACTGCGAGGGAGAGATCAAGATCGTGGCGTGCAGGATCAACAATTTGGTGTATGGTGTTAAAGTGGAAGAGGAATTTAGGCTTATGTTTGTAATAGATATGCATGCGTAATTGTGTTGAGAGCATAAGGGAAATTTGAATGTTCAATCAGACAAGAACCATGAAATGCAAATTTTGCATAAGCGGGTGCAATTTTGTATTTTCAAAATAGACAAATTCATATTATAGGCCCAAAAACAAGGTTTTTTGGTTGGGAGATGAGCAATCCAAACGCTGGAAAAAAACAATCTTTTGTGTCAGAAAAAAGAGAAACATGTTAATAACGAAGCCTAAATTGCTTGGGTTTATTTTTCAAGTGTAGAGCAAGTGATTGCCCATTGATGATTGCTAGTTGTGTCAAAATATCTTATCTTGATATCAATATATTTTTATACAATTCACCCTACAATCACATCATCATAGGTATAAACAACAAATTTCAGCATAGATTCTATTTGCTTCCATGTGTTGGATATTAAAATATAAAGATTTGAAATTTTTCTCCCCTACCATGGCATGCCTTCTTTCCCATTATTTATTATGAAAGAGTCATATAATGTATTTTTCAGCTTTCAATTTTATAAAATCAAATTAGGATCTTCTTCCAGAATTATATTACATTTCTTCAATATTGCAGGTCCTATATAGATCAAGTCTTGTTTAGGAAAAGTCATCCACCTTCTAAGCAAGCGAGCTTACTACATTCATGGATTAGTCTTGACATGCTACTCTCACAGTTATTACCACAGTCAAATTTCTCTTGATTTGCAAGCTTGCAATGCGGAGGGAAGATAAAAGATTAACAATATTTCTTGAACGAGTTCTCAGCATTATGACAGGCTGACGGTTTTTTTTTTTTTTCTTTTTTTGTTTTCTTTTCTTTTGCAATTCTATGCTTTTAAGCTGGGTTTAAGTTAAATCCAGCCAGAGTGTCTTTTAAGGAGTCCTTAAATCTTGCATTTCATAAATCAATTATTTGACTAGATTTAACCTAAATCCTGCATTTAATAAATCCTTCTATTAAATTAATGGATTTGAAGGACCTAAGGATTTAGTAAATCCTCTTACATGCATCCAAAAAATTTTCAGGATCCAACTCAGATTAATGATATTGACAACCACAAAGTTCTGAGAATTATACACTACCTATTTTTGTCACCAAACACGCACATACAGGATTTACTATATCCTAACTGTAACCAAACAGCTCTGAAGACTGAATAGTTGACACTGGACCATTTGGCAATGGCAGATTCTTGAGCAGTAGACTAGCTTCATCTAATTCTACGATAAGAAAAGGTACAAGCATATGGAACTCCATCGAACATTGAAGATGCTTTTAAGAGAAAAAAGTACAAGATCCCATTTTTCTAACCTGCAGTTTATCCAGGTACTGCGGCTGCCCATGACCCTTCTTGATAGTACCCGTGAGCTCTAGAAGGCGATCAGCAAGAGTAGACTTTCCGTGGTCTACGTGAGCAATAATGGAGAAGTTTCGAATTCTCTCCGGTGGGTACTGGCTCAAATCTAAAGCTCCCTCTCTGCTCTTCTCTCGAGAATGGGAACAAAAGGAACACTCTCCTCCAATTAACGGTAAGAGAGTTCCGAATCTATAGGATTCGTATAACAGAGGCCGGAGCGTAGACGTTACAAATCTCGACGATCGATACAGAGCTCTCATTGAACTTTTCACCGCGTAAATCGAATTAACTGATTTCCTTTCCGTTGAAAAATTAACAACGGGAGAATTAGGGTTTTGGCAGGATTAGGCATCAGAGTTGGGGGAGTTTGGGCGACGAAAGAAGCAAATTTGACAGCCTGGTCTGTCTATTAATGTAGGCCGATGGGGAGTCTTCGGTCTGGACACTGCATCACCGACTTCAATAAAATATTGAGAGGTGGAGTGTATACATGAATATTCAATTAAATTTAATTTTTATTATAGAAATTAAATGTGACCGCATAACTTTAAGCATAGCGCATATAAAGCACAGGTAAAATACAGTCAAAGCGCAATCAAAAAGCGTAACAAAAACTCAGGCCACGTGTCAATTCTTAAGTGGATGTCGATGTAGTCCGAACCTAATAATTTTCCGATCAATAGGGCCTTAAACAGTTCAGCTAAAGAGATTGTTTTTGTAAAATAAACCTCGAAAAAAAAATAGAGTCATTTGATTATTGGAATTTTTTTTATTAAATGCAAATTGCAGTAAAAATAAAAAAGTCCTAATATAAACTACTAAGTGATACAAATATTATCACAATCCTCCTTTAATAAAGAAAGAAAAACAAGACGAACCTTATTACAACTTAAATCATCCCAATAAAAATCATCAACTAAAACAAAGTTAACACAAAAATCTACTAACTTATTACAATTTTTATAAGTAAAATGAAAAAAAAAATTCTCAAAATCTTTTAAAAAAGACAAGTCCTCCACCACTTCATTATTTATATCCCAATAAGCTTTTCCAACTGAACCTTGTAAATACTTGATGATATTATAATTATCTCCGTCAATTATAATACCTTTAGTTTCAGTCATCCACTCTTGGATTACCTTCTTCAAAGAACAAAATGCCAATAGCTCCAAAAAACCACTATCCCAATGAATACATTTGAACCCAAAAAGAAGTTAAGAATCTTCCCTTATGATTTTTAAAAACTCCGCCAATGCCAGTTTAATTAGATTGTAATAAAGTAGCATCAATATTGACTTAATTCATTCGGGAGGAGGAGGGTGCTAAGAATGAGAAAATAGTTGAAATTGATTAACACCCCAGTGATCCAAAAAAAATTAAATTTTAATGAAATAGAAGCATGACTAATAGCATTTGATGCAATGAAACCCAAACCAAGCTCTTTACCACTATGCTTTAAATTGTTTCTACTTTTCCAAGAAAAGAAAACAAACGAACAATAAAGATTTCCAATGAACTGATTACCTTCAGATAGCTCTTCCAACCTCCTTTTACCATCTAAAAAAGAGGAAAATTTTGGAACAATAAATCCCCATTTATTCAGCAGCACGATAGCTTGGTTTAAGTTTGGAACAGTTAACAACCACATGTTCTAAATTTTCCACTACAATGCAACCTCTTGGATAAGAGTTATAATTCAACAATCTTCTATACATTAAGAAATCATTAGTAGGAATTACATTGTTAAAAATCTCCCACAAAAAACAATTCACCTGAGGAGATAGTTGCAACGTTTTCATCCATCTCCAATAATCCACAATATCCAAATTAGTTGTTTTTTTAGAAGCCATAGAAGCAATTGATTTTCCGAAAAACCTGTTCATAAGATCCAATTTATCATTTAAAGTATCCTGAAGGATTTGAATTAGTGTTATAACATCAACTCACCATCCAAAATAATTTCGTAATTCTACATAGTTCCAAGCATTATCAGCAATAAACTTCTCAAGAGTAGGAAAATCACCATCCACAATAGCTATAAAAGTAAGCTATCTATCAAAACTTCTATCTAAAACCCATACATCTTTTAGAATATTGATAGAATAACCTAATGCTACCTTCCATCTTACTATTGGCCGAAGAGCTCTTACTTCACTCACCATGATTTTCAAGTGTTTGAGCTGTTTCTCCAAGACTCGACGTGCCAAATATCATCATACTTAGTACTCAATGACTTACTTAAGAGAGAATCATGTTTATTATAGAAATTCCATGTGAATTTTGTTCTCAAAGGACCAATAATAGATCCAGCTGATTGCAGTCCATGTTCTCCAGAATTTAACGGTTTACAATGATCATTTCATGCCACATAATGTAAACCATGATTTCCTCCTTGCTTATTTCATATAAAATCCCTACACATCTTATCAAACTCTTTCAAAATGCTCAAAGGAACAATGGAATGAGAAGCAAAGAAAACCGGAATGGAGAGAATAATTGATTTAATCAAGACCAATCTTCGAGCTAAAGAAATTAGCTTGTTACCCTACACATTCATCTAGCAATCAAATTTTTTTAAGAGATTTAAAAAAATCTGAAAAAACCAACCTCCTCAAAGCCATTTTAATACGCCAATAATTCAGCTCCTTTACCTCCTTAAATCTCAACAAGCTTAGTATGATTCTTCTCTTTCTCCGGCTGATAGACTTCCCAAAAATAATACAGGATTTCTGAATATTAACTTTTTGCCCTGTTCACATGCAATACTCAGAAATAATTCTTTTCATCTTCTTTAAATACTTGAATTTAGCTTCATAAAACATAAATATGTCATCAGCATACAATTAATGGTTGATCTTTGGTGCATCAGGAGCAGCTTTGATGCCTAAATACCTTCCTCTGTGAGTAAAAGAATTAGACAAGAGCTAAGAACAAAGAATAAACAAATATGGAGATAGTGGACAGCCTTGTCTAAAGCCACTTTTATCTTAAATTCACTTATAATTATTTCCATTAATAAGAACATAAAATTTAGGATCAACCACACACTCCATCAAAAGATTAGAAAAATGAAATAGAAAATCAAAATACTCCAAAACCTGCTTTAAAGTAGGCCAAGTCGTACTATCATAGGCTTGCTCCATATCAATTTTAATAGCCACCAATCCTTTTTTTAGACTTTGAATATCTAAACTTATTGAAAAGTTCTTAAACAAGGAGATTATGATCTTATAAAGTCATTCCCTTTATGAAAGCCAGTTGAACATCCAAAACAAGTTTATGTATAACTTTTAGCAATCTATTTAATAAAACCTTAGTCACAATCTTATATATAGAAAAGCTTAAACCGATCGGATGAAAAGGATAAGGAAGAAGAGGATTTTTAACAATAAGAAAACAAGAGTCTCCTTCCATTTGGAGCACATTTTACCAGAGGAAAATTACTGAAGTATTGCAAGCCAAACATCCTAACTTATAACATTCCAATAAGCTTTTAAAAATGAATAAGTGAAACCATCAAATAATGGAGAAATATTCTTACCAAGGCTTTTCACCACACCTTCCATTTCTTCAAATGAGAAATCATCATCCATAAGCTTACAATCTTCTTGATTAAACTGTGATGGTGGCCAACCTCTCATATTACATATTCTCTCCCTCCATTTATTGCTAAAAAAATTAAAGAAAATATCTTCAATATCCTCTTGAATGTCAATAAGATATCTTTCATCATTCTTCTATTAGTTAATGAAATTATCATTTCTTTTACCATAAGTAAAAACATGGAAGAACTTAGATTTCATGTCACCTTTTTCTAACCACTTCACCTTTGCCCTGTGTCTCAACCAAGTGTTCAACCGAGAAAGTGTAAAATTTAACTCATTAACCTTGGATCTGAGTAACTAGAGCTTGTCATCAAATAATCCTTCATCATTTGCTTCATCCAACTGAAGACCAGCAACTTCCTTTTTTAGCTTTTCACTAAATCTCACTCCCATATTTCATCCATTTCTAAATTAACCAACCTAGGTTTATCCAAATTTTCCCCATCCTCACAAAATGATTCCAAAATTTTGAACATGTTATTTTCAGTACAAATAGAAAAGGACTAAGCCTTACCTCTTCAAGTAGAAATTTCATGAACACTAGCAGGTTTTTCAAGATCATCAACTTCTTTCAAAACTACTTGTTTATCTCTAATATTTCCTTTTGCCATTGGGAAATCACATTCTTGAACAACACCTTCCTGAACAGCAACTTCTTTAACAACATATAATACCTTTTGAGCTTCCAGTTGAGAAAAACCAATCCGAACAGGAAATGTTTTGGGAACATTAATATTTTTCTTCGATACAACAGTAAACTTTCACTTCCTTCTATAATTAACATGGATTTAAGGGCCATATGTTGAGCCATCATTTGAATCTCTTGTCATTTGAGATTTCTCCATTGGCAAAGAATTTCCAGAAAAATTCTCATGAATGATTGTCTTCACCGGAATTTTGTCAACACCTATCGTATCCTCCATTTTACAAACATTAACCAAATGACCAATTTTTTCACATTTATAGCAAAACGAGGATATTTTTTCATACTCCACTTTTTGAAAAAATCGACCATGCAAACCTTCCAGCCATACTCCCAATGGAAATTGCTTTTCCAGTTCCACACGAACAAATACTCTTGCAAACTCTCTTCTAACCCATTGAAACATATTATCATCTAGCATAAGAGGAGTACCAATCAAAGAATCAATTTTAGACACATTGATCTCATCACAACAATAAAGAGGTAGATTAGGCATCCTTATCCAAACCAAAGATAATAATCCTTTTAATGATGTAGGAGAAAATCTGGAATTCCATTTGTCAAGACTAACAATATGGCTATTAAAGAACCAAGGTCCACCCGATAAAACATTTTTCTTAGCTTCAATAGAGAAAAAAGAGCATAATACCCATCCTAGGCCAAGAATCGTAAGATGGAATTTACCAAATTACGACCATTGACATCGTAATTCTTCTGCTATCATTTGAATTGGGACATCTCTACCGAAAACTTTCACAACCACTAAAAATTGAAGTCTTTTAGAATTGACTTTTACATTCAGCTTATGCAGTTTAACTGCAACTCCATCTTCTGATAGAAATGATTCTTCTTTTGAAAGATTAATCTTGAAATAAGGATATCTAGACCATGGATTAACAGTATATTTCCTGTCCAGAACACCTACATCCTTCAATAATTTTCCTTGTTTAACATGTTTTAGAACCTTTCCTTGAGCATTACCACAAATAGTTGATGTATTGTCAAAATTATTTTGAAATAAAGGGTCTCTCTCCAAGATTAAAGCAGGTTTCAAAATCACATTGCCAAATCTATTAACAAAAGGTTCATTCCATATGATGACGATGCTTCATAATCATTTTTTCTAACCTTCCC